ACTACTACTACTACTACTACTACTACTACTACTACTACTACTACTACTACTACTACTACTACTACTACTACTTTACTACTACTACTACTACTACTACTACTACTACTACTACTACTACTACTACTACTACTACTACTACTACTACTACTACCACTACTACTACCACTAGTAATAGTCAGGGTAATAGTAGTCACACTACGATTTGTACGACTATAGCTACGACTATTGCCGAAGGTGTTCGCGGAGGAATTCGCCCAAGAGGGCTGGGACGGATGTCACAACGTCAAAAGCGTCGGCCGAAACGTGGTGCCCGAGCACACTGGGGTCCCTGTGGGGTCGCGAACACAAGGTGCAGCGCAGGGGCTCCTCCCCCCCTCCCAGCCCACAGGAACGCCAGCCCCGCTTGTATCAACAACAACAACAAACAAAAAAGGTGGCACGTCTTGTATGAATGGCTTGCACACGCATTGATACAACGGCTAAAAAGAAAAAAACTGGACGGACACCGTCCAATAAGTATACCTGGTATGCGTTGATTCGACGCGTAACGCCGAATCCCGATTCATAATACTAGCTCGGCAACGTAAACATACAAGCCAAACAAATGTCATCACGCATAAAACAAGGCACGGCGGAACCATCACTTTGCATGGATGTCAAGGTGTATCACATGCAATGTCATTGTGTTACGCCCTTGCTCCAAGGTTGGTGCCCCGGGCGGAACTTTCATGACAAATACGGAAAAACAGTCCCAAAATCTTCCAGGTGCGGCCTCGCGGACCCGCAGGAAATACAGCTCGCGAGCGAGCGGCGAGGGAAACAAGGACCTCGGGGGTGTCACAAAGGAAGGGCTCGGGAAGACGCGTGAAGGGAGGCCAGGGGAGACATCAATGTCGTGGGCGGCCAAGAAGGGGGCGTCCAAGAACGCGGGTGCAAATCGTGGCCGGCGGCAGGTGCGCGGCCCAGGGGGCGGCCAGGGACGTTTTGAAATAAGAAGAGGCGCCATGATATCTGGGGAAATATCGTGGCCCACGCCATGATATCCACTCCCCCATTGTCATCACCCCCCTCTTTGCCGCCCCCGACATTAAGGAAGCGGGCGGACGACAAACCACGAAAAAACAGTGGTTCGGGTCAGAGGCCCCGGGCCCGCGAGCTCCGAGGGGCCAGGGGAGGGAAAGGGGCAAGCAATCAGCACAAACGAAAAAAAGACAGAGAGGCAGGCAGGGAGAGAGAGAGGCAGTCAGACAGAGAGGGGCAGACAGGGGAGGGAGAGGGGCAGTCAGACAGACAGGGGCAGGCAGGGAGAGAGAGGGAGGCAAAAGAGCAGGCAGTCAGACTCTGCGGCGAGCCACGAACGAGCCACGAGCGAAAAAAACAACTACGACGACGACGACGACGACCACGACGACGACGACGACGACGACGACGACGACGACAACGACGACGACGACGAAAAAACGACGACGACAACGACGACGACGACGACGACGACGACGAAAAAAAAAACGACGACGACGAAAAAAAACGACGACGACGACGACAACGACGACGAAGGCGACGACGACGACGACGACCATACCGATTTGCCACAAACCACAGAAAAACATTGGTTCGGGCCAGGGCCCAGGAGGAGCTCCGAGGAGCCCAGCAGGGAGAAGTGCGAGGGGGCGGGCCATCGGCACCGACGCAAAGCGCAGACTCTGCGGCCGCGAGGGCGAAGGTCAGGGAGGCCAGGGAACCAAGGAAGCCAAGGGGCCAGGGAGGCGAGGGAGGCCAGGGAAAGCCAGGGAGGCCAAGGATAACCATAGAGACTGCAGGGAGGCCAGGGAAGCCAGGGACGAACCACGAACGAGGCACGAACGAAAACAAGTTAACGAGACACAAGCGAGATCAAGCGGCACGCGAGAATCTTCGATATCATTACCGCTCGCCACATTCGCATCCAACCTCCTGGCGATGTCATTCCCTAAAACCCTGAAACCTAAAACCTTGAAACCCTAACCTTAAAACCCTAAAACCCTGACATCCTAAAACCTTAAACACTTGAACCCTTAAACCTAAAACATTAAACAGTAAACCCTGAAACTCTAAACCCGTGAATCGTCAAACACTCTAAATCCCAATCTGAAACCGTAAAAAAACCCTGAAATCTATAAAATCCTAACATTCAAAACCTTAAAACCTCGAAAAATAGACCACCCCCAAACCCAAAATTCGTGCGTCCTCGGATGATGCTCAACATGTCTCCGACACGAAAACACACGTCTGCGGCGCTCTGGACTTCTCGGCGCACTCGGGAACGCGAACACGCTTAGGATCGGTTAGAAACGCCTGGAAAACCAAAAAAATACAAATTGATGTCTTCACGCACATCAGAACTGAACTGCAGACGTCGAGGGCACAAATGGGAATGGCGCACGCCAATCTGGATGGTAAGACACGGAACGGATACACACACATCGTCGTGTTCGACGGAATTGTCTTGTGATTGCTGCGTTCACCACCTCCGCGATTCCGTGCTCTGAAATTTGAAAATTCGTCTGTAAACGATTCGCTCAATTTTCCGATGAACTGCTGGAAAAAAAAATAACATTGCCGACTGTTGCAACGCGCTCCATGAAATCTACCTGAATCTGTCTGCTAACAACTGCAAC